TCTTCTCTCAAGATGGCCGCCTTCACTTTCCCATAGTCCTCTCTGTCTCCGGCTGCCATCCTGAGAAAGGCCTGCTCAGCTTCTCCCCGGAGGGCCGGCAGGAGCCGGGCCGCCCACGTTTCCCGGGGCCACTGGCAGGCTTCGGCCACTTGCTCAAAGGAGGTCAAGAAGGCTTTGGTGTTGTCCCATGGTGGGGGCTCCTCCAGCGGCAGGGAACTAGCCCACTGTGGCTGAGGGACCTCCACGGTCTTCAAGAACTCCTGCCACTGGGCTTCCCATTGCTGAAGCGAACCCTCGCCCGGTTCCTGCTTAACCTGTTCTCTGGGCATCCTCTGTAGGAGCTCCCCAACATCCCCTGCCTGGAAGCCATGAAAGGCTTTTCTTCTGCCTTCTGATCGCTCTCCGAAGAGGGGACTTGCAAGGTGGTGGTGCTCCATTTTCATTCTTCGAGGGCTCCCCTAAACCTAGCCTGGCAGCATAGGAAGCTCTTGAAGAAATGACAGCAACTTCAGCGCTGAGCCTCGTGCTAGGAGAAGAGACCTTGAATCAAGAACAGAATGAATACATTGGCTTTCCAAAATGGGATTTCGGAAAGTTACGTCTTTGGGGAGTAATTAATTAATTACATGTGTATCCTGCTCATCAAGTGGCACGCCACTACTCTGGGTGCCTAACAACAAATAATGACATAAACCACTCACGTACCTATCCATCAACAGAAAACACCCAAGTCATTAAATATATATATATATATATTGAAAAAGTTATTTTGGACCTTAGCTCCTAGAATCCCCAGCTAACATAGTTACTGGCAGATTCTGAGAGAGAGAATCTCTCTCCAAAATAACTTTTTCAAGCTCTGTCATTTCATTTGAGAAATATCCAACAAGTGCTGGATAGCTCAGTGGTTTAGGCATCTAGTTGTGGAGCCAGAGGTTGGGAGTTCAATTCCCCGCTCGGCAACCATTTTATGAAGTGAGCTGTAGTGCAAAAAAATAAAAAATAAAAATTATGCCAAAGAAAACTTGTTAATCTTTTAAGAGAGCACTAAATTTTCAATCAGAGTCAGTAAGTTGAGTTCTTTAAAGACTGGCAAATTTACTAGTGTGGCATAAGATGCTTCATAGCATTTGACTGGGGCATCAGCAGATCAATTATGTGGAACACATACGATTTTTGCCAACCTGAACTAATTCACAGCGTTGTAATGAGTATAAGATGGAGTTGAGAACAACCATAAGTTCATTGCAGTAATGCCAAGATGTTAATGAGCAAATATTTATTTTATTTATTTATTTTATTTATATCCCGCCCATCTGGTCTGGTCGACCACTCTGGGCGGCTTCCAATAAGGTATATACGAAAACATAAGAATTTTCCAAACAGTCCATAACACATGCAATAATAAAACAAATAATAGATGAAAGTAAAAATAAATACATAAATAAATAAAATAAAATAAAGACATGCATACCTGCACATGTACAAAAATAAAATGGAGCTCCTTCAACCAGCAGGAATGTTATGCCAAGCGGGCAGAGAAATATCCCCGTGGGGTTAAGGAGAGAAGAATGAAATGCCTTTCCTCCCAACCCGCCGCCATTAAG